CGTTGGTGGGGTGGTGGTGGTGGTGGTGGTGATGGTGGAAACAACTGGTACACACCCCAAAAGTGTGGCTTCCACCGCTTGTCTTCCCTCCTCCACTTGCTGTACTGGAGCGCATGGTAAGTGATGAGACCACACATCCTCTCTCTGCCTTCAAGGACGGGCAGCTGGCAAAGTCGTTGGATGGCACCAGCAATGCCCTGGTCATCTCCAAAGTAAAGGCTCACTGTCCTGTGAGAGAATTAAGCCGTAGAAGATTTTCATTGCATGAGAAAACTTTCATCTAAGTGACATAACAAATCGACTGCTTTGTGTATGACTCAGCCAAACGACATTTTGAAGACTGATGTATGACAGTCTTACACTGAGCGGCTGAAATGTAAGTTTCTAAACAATATTATGTTCAATGTCGTTTAAGGGTGCAAACAGAGTGAGCTCGTCGCCGTTGCACTACGCCGGCTGGAGTGGCACCGTTTTTAAACCCAGCGCGAACCTGAGCTGTACCTGTGGCAGACCTGTCGTTTCGCTGGAGTTTTCATTTTAGTGCTGCACTAATATTTGGCCAGCGTGGAACCCTTTTTTCTCTCTTTCGAAGCAACGAAACAAGATGGAGGTGGAAGCATTGATTGAAGCTGTCAGAAAAAGGCAGGTTTTACATTACAAAGGAGACAACGATTATTCAAACAGTTTTAATCAACCACATATGGAATTGAATAGCAGAAGAAATTGGAATTGATGACGATATGTAATAATTATTGACTTGATCTCTTTGTCTCAATCTCTGCATCTTTCTTTCATGTCACTCTCCCTCTCCCTATCATGTCATTCACTCTCCCCCTTTCTTTCCTTCTCTCTGTCCCTCTCCCTCTCTCTGTCGCTATCATTGTCACTCTCTCCCTCTCTGTCACTCTTGGTAGATTCTATGAACCCAATATCTTTGCTTATTGTAACAATGTCTCTCTTTTAAACAATACAAACTTGTCAAGATCTCGGCTGCCATGTTCCCCAATAACCCGACAGCGCTGGAATGGGCATGGGACGGGTGAAAACGTTTTACTACCCAGTACGTTGCCGTTCAAGTGACAGCTTGTTTTTAACGCTGGAACGGCGACGGGCTCACTCTGTACTGTAACACTTCTCCCCCCACACAGTATGCAGAGCGCAAAACCTTTGTTCCCACGTACCAGGAAGCAGACAGGGAACATCAATACTACACCACTATCTCTGCCAAAAGAATTCCGATCAGTATGAAATTTTCAGGTAGGAATCAGAATCGGAACTTAAAACATTAAGTCTTAACACATTCATCACCTCAATGCTCATCATGGCAACACTGTAAATAAGCTGGTTAAAGAAGCACTCATGCTAGGTCTACTCAACATTTAATAAAATATGTCACTCCAATTGTTGTGAACAAACTTATTTCTGCACTCAAAGGCCACACAAACCATTCACGAAGCGCTCATACAGTCGTACCTGCAATAACCGCCACCTGTATAATCAGGGTCCCTACCAAATCCTGGAAATTGTTTCCAAGACCCCAATCCGAGGGAAAAATAAGCCCGCTGCGTGTCAAGAATGATCTCCAAAAAAGCTCATCCATCAATGATAAATAGTCAAATGTCTTTAAATGAATGCAAATGTACATTTTGTAGTGTATAGTCTTCATACAATAGATGATTATAATACAGGGTGACTGCCAACCCAGCTTCTCAATTTTCCTGG